TTTTCTACAGATTAAATGTACAGCTGAACCTCCACAGAGTCTAACTGGTTCCAGCAGCGACATCTGTGTTAAATATTGGTGTGTTGGTTCAAATCTTCCATCAGAATACTCTGTAATTCCTAGAATTGGTTCCAAAAACCTACGATAACTCCTTACTAAATATAGCATAGCAAGAAAACAAATGACTTCTAGAAGAGAGATGGAAAAAGAAATAAATGATGCAGAAATAATCAGTAAAAAGGGTTTTTATTGGCCCTTTAGCTCAGAGACTGAAGAACGGAGGTAGAGGTGGAGACTGAGATACAGGACCAGCCCTAACTCACTCTGACTTTACACAGGATACCTACACACACTAGTTATTTTGATTTCATTCTGGCATTTTATTTTATTTTTTCTATGACTTAGACATCATATGATGAAAATACTTTGGATTGGGAGTCGAATATTTGATCAAATTTAACTTCATATGTTGTAAACTGGTCTGTTTAGGGGTCAGAATCAGAAGTTCTGCTATAGTGAAGCCACATTTTGTCCTCCCTGCCAGCAGGGGGCGCTCATTCAAATGGACCATTGATTTAAACACAAGACACACACACAGGTAAAGGCGGATGTAAATGACCAAAGTCCAACTCTACTAAAACTTTATTATTCACTTCAATGCTTCACATCACTTCATTGTACAAAACTAAATGTTAACCATAGACTTTATTTTCATAAGTTATTACCACAAAAAAAAAAAACGTCCACAAGTCGTCGTTTTAAAGTTTTTAGTGCAAATAAAGTTAGAATTTCAGGCTTCTCTCCCCATGAAGTCGGGTTCAGTTTAGTAAAGCTCCAACAAAAAAACAGCTGGCGTTTTTTTTAAACGTTTTAATTGTGGTTAAATCTGTTTTTTGTTCTAGTGTGAATCTGTGTCCTGTAAATTGAGGTAAACATTCAGAAAACTAGTTAAAATCAGGGCCATTTCCATGGTGACACTCTTTAAAAATGTTGCTTTACAGATTAACTCCTAACACTTATCCATCTTCCCTGTTGTTTTTCTTCCCACGGGCGCCTCGTGCACACTCAGATTTCAGAGCAATTTCATTTCCCTAGCCTGTTAATCGGCTCTCCTCGAACTGGACCAATGGGGAATTGGGTTAGACTGGATCTGGGCTCTGATTGGACAGTTTGGGGAGCCGTTTGGGGGCATGTGTGGGTTTATTGGAGACTCCAGTCGGGCTTTTCCATGAGTATCTGCTGGGATTCAGCCCGGCCAGGTGAGTTTGTCTCGTTAAGGTGTGCAAAAAAATGATAAAAAAGCTGAGATGAGTGCATGGTTGTGTGGTTGTTCGTGGCGGTTTTTAACGCTCAAACTACAACAACCAGACCAGGTGAGGCCATTTCTTAACACAGATGTTTTTCTGCTGGTTTCCACATGTGAGAATTAGCTGAAGCTTTAATTTATGCCTGACTCTGAACCCTCTGACATCCAGCCTCCCTTTTTACTCCTGGTTTTACGAGGCTTTTTCCCTCTCTGTGCTAGTTTTGGCTAACTAGTTAGCCACCGGTGGACAGAAGTAGTCATTAATTTAAAATAAATCCTCTTTAAATCAATGCAAAATTAACACAAAACAGGGATTTCCTTTTGTTCTCCAACTTCTGATTTAAAGAAGAGCTTTTTTTCCCCCCAAAAAAAGAGAGATGTTTAGTTATATATTCTTCAAACTTCAGACAATTAAATCATTTTCAACATCAGCTTTCCGTTTTATACATTTTATACATTTATGTAAAAAAAAAAGGAAGCATCTTTATAAAGTCACACATTCAGACTCTGAGTACTTTAGTGAGTTTGATGAGTTGAAAAGAAATAACCAAAGAAACTAAACCCTCTGTCACTATGTAAACACCTGACAGTTCTCCAAAATGCAAATAAAACCTCTTTAGTTGTTTTTCGTTAGTTCGAACCCTTTAACAGACAACTATCCGACATATTTGGAAAAAGGTGGAATCTGAAGCAGCAACACACTCAGTAAAAGCATTCCCAGAGTCCTGCCTCCCGTCTGGTCCCGGCAGATTCCCCATATCTCACGTTTTAAAGCTCCGGATGCTAACTATTATGTCTTTTCGGAGGAATCTCTACAGTCTTACTTTCTAAACCTTTTTCTGAGTGTGTTGCATTATTAACACAAATCTCTGGAGCTGGTCTGAGTCTGTTAAAGATTGAGACAAACAAATGATAGGAGCCATTAAAAAAACAAACAAACCAAAACAAACTCCTGACTGGACGACACAGCGTCCTCTCAGATACTCACAGTGGCGGATAAAAAGGTTTGGGGTCCTTTGCTGCTCTCCTGTAGGGGGCGGCGTCCACAGAGGGGCAGAGCGGGGCTCAGTCTGACCTCTGACCTCTGACCTGTGAGCGGTCAGCGCTCCTCCTCCGGCCCCCCCTTCTCCCCCTCCTTCCCGGGGCTGGGGTCTCCGGGGTCCTGGTCCCCGCGGGGCCCTGAGTCCTGGTCCTCCGGCCCGGGTTGGGGCTCCCTGGGGGGGGCGGCCGGGTCCCGGACCACCCCCCCCATCTCCATCTCCATCTCCACCTCCTCCTCGGTCTCCTCCTCCACCCGGCCCACCGAGTCGGGGATGATCTCCACCTCCACGTCGGAGGAGTCCTGGCTCTCCTTGAACCACACCGTCTTCTGGCCCTCGCGCCGCCGCGGCCGCCCCAGGATGGAGCGCACGCCGTTGGGCTCGGCGGGGGGGGGGGGCCCCGCCCGGCCCCTCCGGCCCCGGGGCAGGTGGTTGGAGCCCAGGCCGCAGCCGGAGCAGGGCCGGGTGCGGCCCCCCAGGGGCAGCAGGCGGGCCCGGGGCTGGGGGAAGGTGCTCCGGCGGGGGGCGCCGCCGGGCCGGCAATGGCCCCCGCCCCCCCCGCCGCCGCCCCCCCGGCCCGGGTCGCCCTCCGTCTGGAAGCCGTCGTTGGTGAACTGGAGGGAGTCCCGGTGGCCGGAACGAGCAGCCTCCGTCTGCAGGCAGGGGCCCAGACACTGGGGGCAGAGAGGACACGGTTAGAGGCCTCGTTGTAAGGAAGTTTTTCCTTGCCTGTGTCGCCTAGTGCTGCTCATGGTGGGAATTGTTGGGTTTCTGTAATTAACTTCAGAGTAGGTCTGACCTGCTCTGTTTGGAAACATAACTGTTGTTGTGATGTGGAGCTATAGAAATAAAATTGAATTGAATTGAATTGTGTACCCCCACTATGGACCCCCTATATGGACCCTTCTATGGACCCCTCTAAGGACCCCCTCTAAGGATCCCCTATATGGACCCCTCTATGGACCCCCTTAATGGACCCCCTATATGGGCTATGGGGATTAGAGCACGGTACTAAAAAGCCATCACAGAATAACAGAAAATCTGTGTTTGAGAAACAATTTTTCGAGAATCAAACTTCCTGGGACAAAACTGTGAAACTGATTCTAAGAGCAGAGACGTCGAACAGAGCTGGAGAAACCACCTGAAGACGGCAGATTCAGCCGGTCAGGAACTAAGTTAGGAACTGCTAGCATGCTAACGGTGGCTAACTGATGAGCTGTAGTCTGGACGGGGGTTTGGATGTTGTGTTTAGGGGCCGGGGGCCCCCACACTGACCTCACAGATCTTGTCCACGCCGGCGTTCCCGGTCCAGAGGCGGGACACCAGGAAGCCGATGACGATGAGACAGAGCACCAGCAGAGCCGCCATCACCAGCCCCAGCAGAGCCATGTCACCCGCCCGGTAGCCCACGCTGGAGGGGGAGGGGGCGGCCACCGCTGGGGGGGGGGGGGCACAGACAGTCACAGACAGTCACAGACAATCACAAACAGTCACACACAATCACAAATAATCACAAAAAATCACAAACAATCACAGACAATCACAAACAATCACAAACAGTCACAATCACAAACAATCACAGACAATCACAAACAATCACAATCACAAACAGTCACAATCACAAACAATCACAAACAATAACAATCACAAACAGTCACAGTCACAATCACAAACAATAACAATCACAAACAATAACAATCACAAACAGTCACAAACAGTCACAATAACAAACAGTCACAATCACAAACAATCACAAACAATCACAGACAATCACAAACAATCACAAACAATCACAATCA